GCCGGCGTGGAAGATCACGCTCGTGCAAGGCGGAACGAAAATGTGGCCATTACACGCGGCACGATCACCGGATTTGTTGTCAATGCAGGACAACGCTGTATTCATGATGACACAGTTGAAGGGGGGGGTGTTTGCGGTCGCAATGCTCGCTACTTTTACACCAGCGAACGATGGAAGTGCTGCGCGGGACACGAGGAGATGGATGCCAAGTGTTTCACTGAGATTGGAGTCACATTCGACAATCAGGAAGGTTAGTAGTTAATGCCTAAATTATTGTACATGATACTCATAATTATCACGTTCTTCAGCTAAATATACGACACACATCTTACCTCTACACATACGTGCGCTCTTTTTCCAGTGCGTGACAAAAAAATCGGGATTCGCAAGGGCGTACTGGCAAAGATCGAATTGGAGGCGATCAAGCAAGTTATTCCGAATGCTTGTACCATTGAGTTCAGCATGGCAGACAACGAACAGAAACACGAAATGCTGACTGGTCTTATTGGAAGATGGCTCATCCAAGTAAGGAATATAACAACACAACAGCATGTTGTTATTCATACCAACAAATTCGTCATTTGTGTTTTGTACAAATTTTTTAGTCACGTTTGACTTCTCTCTTGGCTTGTGTTATCCATATTATGCTCACAGGTGAAAGTATGTGGCATCTGGGATGGGATCACAAGGTCGATAATTTCACTCAATCGCCCCTTTCATACTGTGAGTATAATCACCATGTCGCTTTTGTATATTTACATACCGTGTATTGTTTTTCGTTTGAACTAAACTTTACCATCGACATCCTGTCTTGCTATACTGGATAATGCTTAGGACATCCCATCAACAAATGACAATAACAAGCGGATTGGTACCAACACTGATGCCGTACATCCGACAACTCCTGCGAAGGTTCACCGTCGTCTCTAAGAGTAAGTCATCGATACATATAATTTGTCCACTGAAATCTTCATATTATTATACTATACACATTTTTTCTACTATTTTCCATCCCTTTCAGGTGGATGGTCGTCCACTTACTCGGACAACTTGAATGAAATTGATACAATGAGTAGCAGCGAAACGTCACAGGGGAAACGGGAGGGGAGGGGGATGATTGGGGAGGAATGGAATGGGTGGGGTGGTGGGGAAGGTGAGTGCAGGGTCTAAGACTTGGGCAAGGTAGCATCTTAAGATAATGGGTCATATGTTTTCCATTTTTTTATAACCATACTTTTGTGTTAACCTATTTCTTTCCATATGTATCCCTGTAATGTACTATCACGTTGATCTATCATTCGGTCAACAGTGTACCACGTGGTATGCCTGTGTTTTCTACGTACCGCATTGCCACATCATGCACATAAAGCATTGATGCATTTGCTTCGTTGCACTCACTACTGTTCCGTATTTTTTGTTGTCAATGGTGTTTACCGTCTCTTGTGCATATGTTCTATGGTGTATTGTATTGTTACGTCATGCACATACCTGGTTGTATTGTATTGTCCCCGTGGAAACGATGCCGACTATGCCTAGTGCAATATACAATCTGCGATTGTCGTTGCCGGTCTGGGAACTCGCTTCCCATAACGTGCATGTCAGTCTCTATTGTAGCACGAAAGCATTGACGCGTTCGTTTTCCTACCCGTAATATTGTACTATGTAATGTGCTCGATGGCATGCGTTATTAAGAGAGTGCATCTTGTTGTGGGTGCAGTGAGACGACGCAGCGTATGCCTAGTGCACAGTACAAATTGCGATTGTCGTTGCCAGTTTGGGATATTCTTTCCATAACGCGCATGTCAACACAAAAGCATTGATGCGTTTGCTACGTTGCATTCACTACTGTTCCGTATTTTTTGTTGTCAATGATGTTTGCCGTGTCTTGTGCATATGTTTTACATGTATTGTATTGTTACGTCATGCAAATACCTAGTTGTATTGTATTGTACCCGTGGAAACAATGCTGACTATGCCTAGTGCGGTATACAATTTGCGATTGTCGTTGCCGGTCTGGGGACTCGCTTCCCATAACGTGCATGTCAGTCTCTATTGTAGCACGAAAGCATTGACGCATTCGTTTTCCTACCCGTAATATTTTGCTATGTAATGTGCTCGATGGCATGCGTTATTAAGAGAGTGCATATTGTTGTGGGTGCAGTGAGACGACGCAGCGTATGCCTAGTGCACAGTACAAATTGCGATTGTCGTTGCCAGTTTGGGATATTCTTCCCATAACGCGCATGTCAACACAAAAGCATTGATGCGTTTGCTACGTTGTATTCACTACTGTTCCGTATTTTTTGTTGTCAATGATGTTTGCCGTGTCTTGTGCATATGTTTTACATGTATTGTATTGTTACGTCGTGCACATACCTAGTTGTATTGTATTGTCCCCATGGAAACAATGCTGACTATGCCTAGTGCGGTATACAATTTGCGATTGTCGTTGCCGGTCTGGGGACTCGCTTCCCATAACGTGCATGTCAGTCTCTATTGTAGCACGAAAGCATTAACGCATTCGTTTTCCTACCCGTAATATTTTGCTATGTAATGTGCTCGATGGCATGCGTTATTAAGAGAGTGCATATTGTTGTGGGTGCAGTGAGACGACGCAGCGTATGCCTAGTGCACAGTACAAATTGCGATTGTCGTTGCCAGTTTGGGATATTCTTCCCATAACGCGCATATCAACACAAAAGCATTGATGCGTTTGCTACGTTGCATTCACTACTGTTTCGTAATATTTGTTTGCCATAATGTATTCTGTGCTGTTGTAATGTAGTATCTCTATCATTCTCCGCCGTAATTATCGACGGTGAATGATTTGAGACTCTCATCATTCATAGGTAGCTTAGATAGTTGTCCCAAATCTCTATGCTATTCTTATATTTTTATGTCGGTATGAGTATCGCCGACATATCAAATAAAATAGCATGGATTTTTGTCTTGCACGATAAAATGGTTAGCTAAGTCTAACAATAGTAGTATAATAATAATAATGGATAGAAAAGTAGAAGAATAGAAGAAAAAAATGACAATAGTAATAGGAACAATAGTAGTGGTAATAATAATAATAATAATAATAATAATAATAATAATAATAAGACAAAGAGATCAAACATGACAAATACATACACTAGAAACTACAAACAACAATAATAACGGGAATACGTATGTGGCAATAAATAATACTAATACTAATAAATATAAAAGACTCTTGTAATAATATAATATAATAATATAATATAATATAATACAAATCTTTAGAGTAAAGGATGCATTAGACCCTAAAAAATGATATGGGTTATTATCTCGATAAGATTTAGAAAAAAAAACAAACAAACAAAAAAAATGATATGAGTTATTATCTCGATAAATTTTAGAAACCAAAAATGATATGGGTTATTATGTTGATAAGATTTAGAATAGAATAATATGTAATGCAATGTCTGTCCACCACAATCGGTCCACCGACCGATTATAAAGGGTTGCTACGCAACCCAAAAATCTCTCGAGCAACCTGCGCGAAATTATGCGAGCCAAAACAGACAAGCGCAAAGTGTGGCGTGATTTGCACATACGGAGCGACGTACACCAAGCAACACCACAAAAAAAGGTCACTAGTACACTATTTGGGGGGGGGGGGGGAGGAGGAGTCTGCCACCCAGCGCAACTCGCTTTCCCGATCGTCGTGGTTGTACACAGTGGCTGTCGATTGTATCGCACGCGACCTCACTAATGCAATCTGGTGACACTTTCAGTCCTCTTGGCGTCAGGGGTTACGCAGTGGCCGTTAGGTCGACCTGTACCCTGGGTCAGCTCGGCATACCTGCACCAACTGCCTGACACGCGGTCTAACCTTGCCCTAACTACGAGGTGCGAGTAACGTGCTATGAGGGGCGAAGAAATAAAATCTACTAAGGGAGTTGTCTCCCCTCGGTTTGTGACAACGAGGTACGAGTAACGTGCTGTGAGGGGAGAAGAACGAAAATCTACTGAGTTGTCTCCCCTTTGTTTGTGACTACGAGGTGTGAGGGCGTGTTTCTAGTGGTGTCATCCCAAGTTGGTGTCATCCGGGAAAGCTGGAACCAATCAGATGCGTTTTGCTGAAAGTTTACAGCATAGGTTTGGTTTCAATTATCTCGGATGACATCAACTTGGGATGACACCAACTAGAAACACGCCCTGAGTAACGTGTCATGTTGTGATGGGAGGACGAAAATCTTGGTGTGAGTACGTGCTGTGAGGGTAGAACAACGAAAATCTTCGAAGGGAGTAGTTCCTCCTAAGGAGATCCCCCCTGTAGCCCTACCAGCACTATTAAGGGGCTAACTGAAAAAATGCTCATTATTTGACTCAAATTTAGGGCAACAACCCTTGAAAAATAGGCCCTGATTCAGAACCCTGTCAGCACGCCTGCAATGGACACGTCGGTGTTTGTTCCCAGAATCTGTGGGCTGAGAGATCTTTCCACGCAAGTCCACACACGATCCCATGTCAGCCAATTTCGCAGGAATCTTGGAGGCTGGAGCAAGGAGATTCGAGAGAGCCTCCAGGTGTTCGCTGAATTCGTGTAAACATCGAGTGGTGATTGGGTACCGCGGCTCATTGTTGGGATTTGTTGTCGACCTACTCTGGGTTACAAACAAGCTTGTTCAAACTGGACATCCCCAGATGGCATGGGTGGGGTGTGTCCTTGCCCAGTTCCAACACCAGCCTGCAGAGCAAAAGGCTCTGGTCTGGTCCCCATGGTTTCTTGGCCTGGCTGGGTTGCATGTCCGGTTCGATTGAAACGCTTTGGCACTACTGTTCGTTACTCACGGATAGAACGATAGTCCCTGCAAACCCAGGGATCTTCGGGTACTTGCTCTATTCGGGCAGGTCAGCCGCAGAAAGGCAAGCTGCATGCGCCATGTTGACATTGGTGATAGTAACGAGATTTCATTCCTTCGACCTCCCCCATCTCTAGCCAGCAGCATGATGAATGATACCAATTCACAGCAGCTCTCCACCTCCCCATTTCTTCATTCTTGCTTAGCTCGCTCCATCAGAAACCTTTCTCAGCAGATTAGCTTTCCAGCTCACAGCTCCATCGCCTGACGATTTCAAGAATCAGCTTTTCTGAATATTGTACGACCTCTGAAACCTCACGTTCCCTCTTCATTGGGCCTTGTTCATGCGGCATGAAGTGGTCGATTGCTCGTCTCGTCATTTCATGGCCAGCAGACGAAGCTCCGCCCCCTCGCAGCCTAAAGATTGCGTAGCTCCCTTGAGGTCATCGCTTCCGAGCAGTAACACCAACACCAACGACGACGCGTCTCTCCTCGTTGCTGATGCCACGTGGCAGATGAATTCCCCCATGTCTTTCCTCAATTCCCACCACGTGCAGGGTGTCGTGCTGCTGCTCCTAGTCCTCGCCTGCTGCTCCATCGCCATTCACGTCCCTGCTTCCAATTCCTTTACCGTTGATCTCAATCCGAGCGCAGCTGGTGAAGCGTTGGGTGACCAATTCAAGACTACAGCTGACTTGCAATCAGGGAAAGCGGATTCTGCAACTGAAGGTGATAAAGATTCCTGAGAGGAACGCGCTTTCCGTTTACGTCCTGTGAAACGATTCATGACAGCTTATTTCAGTCACTCTCGGATCCTAGCTTACACCGCTTCTCAGTTTCGGTTCGTCGCATCTCAGTCAGTACACGCCAGGACATGTAAATCTGCTTCCCTCTCTCGTTGGCTGGCTTCATGTGGTACTAACAGCTTGCGTATTCGATCATGCTCCTAATCCAAAGTTGTCCTCGTGAGAGAATGATTCATGGTCGTTGTCCTGCCCGATTCCTAAGCGTCTCTTTCGACCGTCTTCCTCTTCGTTTTTCGGTTGCTTGCAGTGAAGAAAATGGCGGCCTTTCCTGACGTGGTGGTGGTGGGAGGTGGCCTCGCGGGCCTGTCTGCTGCCGTGGAAGTCGTCAAGCGGGGTGGATCCGTCCTGGTTCTTGAAAAGAGCGAAAGGTTAGGGTTTTCTATGTATCTTTCTCGTTTCCCGTGGATTCCATCATTTTTGCGTTCTCTTTGTTTCCGAGTCTCGATTTTTCTTAACCCCTTGTTTGCTTTCCTGTCCTCGTCTATGATTGCCTTGCAGGCTTGGCGGGAACTCTGCCAAGGCGAGCTCTGGTAAGTGCATCAATTTGACCATGAGTTTCTCCGTGAACCTAATTCGCTGTCAAGAACCCGGTTATGGAAAATGGAACGCAAGTTATGACACACTTCTATCCGTCGACTGTCCAGAATTTTAAGGATGCGCGAAAGTGTGTGTGATGAACTTTTGGTTCCGTTTAGCATTCGTTCCTGCATGGCGGATACTCGTCTGTCATTACCTTATGCTTGTTTTTTATTACGCCTTTCGTTTCCAGGAATGAATGCTGCTCGCAGCGGTCCTCAGTTGGCCATTGGGATCGAGGACAAGCTGGAGGATTTCACCAAGGACACGGAGAAGTGAGTCCTTTTCGTCTACAGCCGCTCCTGCTTTCCCCTTACTTCAGTCTGTCGGCTTCATTAACGATCCAGATTATTCTCGAATGTATGGCCTCCGATATACCTTTTCCTCCTCGACGCCTCGTCGCCTCGTCGCGCCTCATCGCGCGCGTCACGCGTTTCGCCCTGCTTACGTCGCGTTTCAGGTCCGGCAAGGGCCTGTCTGACCTGCAGTTGGTGGACGTGATCGTGAAGAACAGCGCCGACTCCTTAACGCGATTTTCTAACAGCTCGATGGTTTCTTCCTTGCATCCTCATCTTCTCGTCATCTCGTCTTGCCTTCCCGTTTCAGGTCCGGCAAGGGCCTGTCTGACCTGGCGCTGGTGGACGTGATCGTGAAGAACAGCGCCGACGCCGTCGCCTTCCTGCAGGGCTTTGAGATCGACCTCTCCAGCATTGCGCAGCTCGGAGGCCACTCGGTGAGCGACTCTTTACAAACAGTTGTTCTTGCTGGCTGTTTTTTCTTTTTCTTTTTTATTTTCTCCAATTGCCGAACGTCCATTTGTCTCTATCTCCCACTGCATGTCGATGTTCCCAGATCCTAGAGATCCTCTTGGAATACAGACTGCATGCATGCGTGCGAACAGTCCAATTCCAATCCTTTTCTCCTCCCCCCCTTCCCCCTTTCCCCCCTCCTCCCCTCCTCCCCACCCCACTCCCTCTGCGCCCATCTCCCTTTTCTGCTGCCTCCCGTTCGCCCACTCCACGCTCATTTGCCGTGGTCCGCCGTCCCGTGATGGCACGCTACAGCATCCGCGCACGCACCGCTCCAAGCCCGACGGCAAGCCCATGAACATCGGCTTCCGCATCATGTCCGTGCTTATCAAATACGTGGAGGCCCTCCCTGCCGACAAGGTACGCCGTTTGCTACCCACAGCCATCTCGTATATTTGTTCTTTTGTGGGGGGGGCGGTGGGTGGGGGAAGAGGGGAAGAGGGAGGGGGGGGGTTAAGGGGGAGGGGAGGGGAGTGGGGGGGGTTCTGAATTTCTAGCGATTTCTCCTTTTCTGGTTCTCGCTCTCTCTATACGAGGGTTTCGAGGGTGGTTCGCTGAGCTCATTTACCGCGTCCTTCTGTTGTCCCGCCTACCTTGATTCTTCGCCTCCTTTCTGTGCGTGCGCTCCCCAGGCCAAGGTGGTGAAGCAGGCTCGGGTGACTGCGCTTCTTACGGACGCCAGCGGCGCTGTCACCGGCGTCAAGTACGAGACTCCCGCTGCTGACGGATCTGTAAGTAGATGTGTTTAGGCACGCACAGCTTACACACATCTGACAGGCTGACAGATTTTATGGCCGATGGGCGGATGGGCTGTTGTTGAGAGATGGACCTTTGTAACTCGTAGCACAAAACATGACAACCCGCCATTTTGCAAGAGAAAATGTATACCATCCAGGAATCACCTTGTTTTCCTCCCCCTCCCCCCCCCGCCCCCCCCCCCCAGCATCCGTGCATCTACGAACGTTCCCTTTGCCACGCACGACAGTGTGAGGCTGGGCGTCTCATCACCCTAGCCTTTTCCGTACCCCTCACTCCTCTGCCCCCCGTCCCTTTGCCCGACGCCTCTGCTCCCCTCCTTCCCCCCCAGGGCGCCAAGGAGGAGACCGAGGTGAAGGCATCAGCAGTCATCCTCGCGACCGGCGGTTACTCCGCGGACAAGGCGGAGGGCGGGCTGCTGGACACCCACACGCCCAAGCTGCGCAACCTCGCCACCACCAACGGGCCCTTCGCCACGGGCGACGGCGTGCGGCTGGGCGTGGCGGCGGGGGCGGGGCTGATCCACATGGATCAGGTGCAGCTGCACCCCACGGGGTACGTGGACCCCAAGGACCCCCGCAACCCCGTCAAGTTCCTGGCTCCGGAGGCGCTGAGGGGATGCGGTGGGATTCTTCTCAACGAGAAGGGCGACCGGTTCGTCAACGAGCTCACCACCAGAGACGCAGTGAGCGTTGGGACATGGCCGGGAGAGGGGCTTGTTGAGGGCGGTGGCATGGGGAAGGGGGGTTGGGTGAGAGTTGGGGCAGGGCGACGGTGAGGGGTCACGGCGAGGATAATTGGGGGGGGGAGAGGGGTGGTTTGGGAGAGGGGATGTGATGAGAGCAGTGGTTGAATGCGGTGTGAGCTGGGGCAGGGCGGGCCGGGAGTGCTTGTGGTCTGGGTGGTTCACACTGTTGAATGAACTTGGTTTGTTTCGCAGCTCTAAGTTCGCACATCCACCTTTCACCTTCTCTCTCCCCCCATCAGGTGGTGGAGGCGATTCTGAAGTACTGCGGACCCCTCCCCGAGGTCCCCGGCGCACCAGCTGGCGGGGCGGACATGCCTGCTGTATCGTACCTCATTCTGAGCCAGGAGGCGATCAACAAGTTCGACCCGCTGTCGTGCCAGTTCTACATCGGCAAGGGGCTCATCCGGAAGGTGAGGAGGGAGAGAAGCTTGGGAAATGCGAGTACGGGTGGGATGATAGTAGGGAATTCACAGGCACAGACGAATGAAGGCAGGAGGCCATCAACAAGCTCGACCCGCTGTCGTGCCAGTTCTACATGTACATTGGCAAGGGACTCATTAGGAAGGTGAGGAGGGAGGGACATTTGGAAGATGATTGAATCCAGGAGGCGATTAATCAGCAAAAATTGACCTGCTGTCGGCCAGTTTCTACACCAGCAAGGGGCTCATTTAGAAGGGGGGATGGGAGGGTCAGGGAGGGCCAGGGAGGGCTAGGGAGGGCGTGCAGAGTGTTGAGAGAATACAGGTTGAGAAGGAAAGCCCGGTCATGGCAGCAGTGTCGTACCTCAATTAGCCGTTTTGACCTGCTGCTGTGGCACTTTTGCATTGGCAAGAGGCTTTTCAGGAATGCGAGATGGGGGGGTGAGATTGGGGGGGGGGGGGGCGAGTTGGCAGGGCGAGATGGGAGGGCATACACAGTGGAGTTCCCTTTCGTCCTTCCGCGTTCACATTCATCAACAGTGTGACAAGATGGAGGCATGGAGCAAGGGCACCAGCTGCCAGCAGCCAGTGTGATTTTGCCTCAGGACCTAAATCCCCCATTCTCCTTAGCCTTCCTGTTTTTCCCCCCATTCCATTCCTCTCCATGAACCCCTTCCCCCCCTTCCTCCTCCCCCCCCTCCCTCTCCCCCCCCCCAGCACCACCCATCAACAGTTTGACATCGTGGAGGCTCTGCGTGAGGGCACGATGCTGCCAGCAGCGAAGCGACAGCTGCTCTGGACTAAGTCCCCTACACTCTCCCTCCGTTTTCTCCTTGATCCCTTCGTCCCCCATATTTAACGACTCCGGCCGACAGCGTGGAGGTGCTGAGCGAGGGCACCAAGCTGCCCGCAGCGAATGTGAAAGCTGCTCTGGACGGACTAAGTCCCCTATACTCTCCCACCTTTTTCTTCGTGATCCTTTCATCCCACGTATTGAATGACTCAGTTTGACACCGTGGAGGCGCTGAGCGAGGGCACGAAGCTGCCCGCAGCGAACGTAAAGGCAGCTCTGGACTCATATGGCCGGCATGACGCTGAGAAGGGCGACCCCTTCGGCAAGACCGTTTTCCCCGTGCTCTTCAAGTGAGTGCCACCTGCCAGACTCCCACCTTTTCAACAAGGTGCCTGTTTGAGTATTTTTATGCCACCTCCAGACCGTTTTCCCCGTGCTCTTCAATTGACTGCTGGCTGACTTGAATCTCCTTTGAATAATGGTTGGGCTGCCAATGCTGTCCTGTGCTGTCGACTCACCTTCCTCCCTCTCCTCTTCCAACTGCTACTCCCACCGCACCAGTTCTTCCGAGCCAGTGTACGTGGCCATCATCACGCCCTCGCTGCACTACTGCATGGGCGGGCTCAAGTTCGACACCAGTGGCCACATCCTCAAGGAGGATGGCTCCCCCATTCCTGGGCTCTTTGGCGCTGGCGAGGTCACAGGTGAGATGGCAAGAGACGAATGGGTTGAAGGTGGGATGTATGGGCGTCTGCAAACTGGCATCCTCAAGGAGGATGGCTCTCCCATTCCTGGCCTCTTCAGTGCCGGCGAGGTCAGAGGTGTAGATGGTAGGTGTGCCTCAAACGCTTAGGCATCGATTAGAAACCCTCCAGGACGATGGCTCTCCCATTCCTGGACCTTTGGTGCGGGCGAGGTCACCGGTGAGCTGAATTGAATGAGGTGTAGATGGAAGGCGTGCCTCAAACGCTTAGGCGTCGAATCCAAACCCTCAAGGAAGACGATTCCCCCATTCCTCGGGCTCTTTGGTGCGTGCGAGATGACAGGTGAGACAGCAAGGCTTTGGTGCAGGTGAGATGGTTGATTGATAGTCGGGCAAACATGACATACGGATGTGACGAGTGTCACACGAGTTGAACCCTGTTGTTCGCTATCTTCTTGATTATAGTGCTTCTCCCTGGTGACCCCTCATTTGTGTTGATCCCTTGGGTTCATCACTGTTTTACAGGTGGGCTGCATGGAGCTAACCGTCTGGGTGGAAACTCCCTTCTAGAGTGTGTTGTGTATGGGCGGGTGGCTGGCATCAGTGCGTTCGACCGCATTGGCAAATCTGCTGTGTAGTTGAGGCAAGAAATGCCCATTCTTGCTGGTTGGCTTGTTGGCAAACTAGGATATCCTTACCCTTGGATGTGTCATCCCTAGTTTGTAGTTCAATGATGTTTCATGCAAGCCCAACCAGAAAATACTGTGCCATTCGGTATGTTGGGAAGAATGCTACTGTTCTAGACCTAGCAAGTGAACCCGATTCCTAAAAGTAATACAAATGCGATCGCATCGGGGTTCGGGGGGGACCATCGATTTTCTCGTGTTCACATATTCGACATGAATCAGGAAAAGAAGGGGAGGTGACGAAAGCGCTACAGTACGGTGCCTTGCGTTCCTGGAACGGTGGAGAGCAGTTACAGTTTGGTTCTGTGAGACCCTCCTGCTCGCTGGCTTTTCCCACCTCCGCGACGTTCTTTTTCTTGGGGGGTAAAATTTCATCTCTACTAGTAGCAGAGTATATTTGCTGATTCTGAAAGCCTGCTCACGCCAGGAGGACAGCAAAGCATCTGTGCATCCGAAAGAGCGAGCTGCTCTGTCCCGATGCTCGCCTTCAGACTCGAGGCCCCTTTATTCTCTAGAGCTCGTCACGCCTTGGCGATCGAAATAGGTCTCCCACGCTCGCGATTCCGCTTCCCGCGCCTCGATTCGTCAAGTGGACCTGGCATCGAGAGGCCTCGGGTGCCTTTGGCTCAAACAAGAAAGGCACTTTTCGCGACCAGGTCACTTTTAGGCAGCTCAGGTGTAGCGTCAAGGACCAGCTCCGCTAGCAGTTACATTGTTACCAGCCCTGCTGACAGCTACAACAGCAGCCGCATTTGCCGCTGCTGCTGCAACAGCGTCATCGTGAGGAGGCGTTCTTATTTCGACCCAGCAGTTTCTCGCCGCTGTTTCGACCCGGCTGTTTCTCGCCACTGTTTCATCGCAACAGCAGCAGCAGCAGCAGCCATGGCTTCCGACGGCGGGCCTGTCACAGCGAGCATCAGTGTGACGCCTGCTGACGTGGACAAGGCGGCTGACGAGATTCTCGTGTACTGGTTTGGCGACTTCATGGCGCCTGGCTATGCGGTGAGGAAGGGCAATTGACTTCATGGCGCCTGGCTATGCGGTGAGAGTTGGATAGGCAACTAGCTTGGCTCCTAGGTAAGCTTTTCCCCCTACCCTCCCCTACCCTCCCCTACCCTCCCCCCTACCCTTCCCCCTACCCTTCCCCCCTACCCTTCCAGCCAATCATGCCCTGCGGTTCCTACCCTGTCGTCGTTCTTGCAGGGCCCACCCCCGGCAGACGATGATGTGGCAGCGAAGCAGCCTCTCTGGTTCCGCAAGGATGCTGACGTGGACGCCTTCATTAGCGCCAGATTCGCTCCCCTCATCCCGCTCGCTGCATCGGGCCAGCTGGCAGGCTGGGAAGACACGCCACGTGGCGCGCTGGCATTGGTCGTGCTGCTGGACCAGTTCACGAGGAACAGCTTCAGGGGATCGCCTGACTCCTTCGCCCAGGTGAGTTCTGAGTGAGCACTGCTGACGTCACTGTCCACGTCGTTGCAATCATTGTCCGGGGGTCACCGCATGGCCCCCCTTGCATGCGGGTGCGGCTCCATCAATTCTCAGCCCACACCACATGTGGTGTGACGACAGGTGAGGTAAAGATGCATGTTCACCACTACATCTGCGAGGCAGAGATCGTGGCATCGCGACCAAGGCCGATGGGAGCCACTACCTACTGCCACTGCTTACTGCCAATACCTACTGCCACTGCCTACTGCCATTACCTACTGCCATACCGGAGCTCAGCCCCTCAGCTTCATTCCAATAAAAGTCACCGCCATCGTCGCGATGTCGTCGTCATCGTCATCATCCTCGTTGTCCTCATCGCTTTCATGCCATCTGGCTGCAGTCGCTTCTTTTGCAGTTTCAAGCAACTGTCTGACATTCTTTTCGCCAACAGCTGATGTGATCTTCATTCTACATGCCCTCCGTCCCTCCTCCCATCAAGTTTCGTCCTTTACTCTTGTGTTGTCTCAAAAATAAGGGACGCTTTGGCTCGAAAATAAGGGAAGATATTGTACGCTTTGGCTTTCCGTCACTGTATATCCTTCCTTCCCATACTTCTTATCCGCCCTCCTACAGGACGTGTTGGCTCGTGATGTTGCGAAAAGGTATCCTTTTGAACGCACACTTATTCCCGCAGTTACAAAAGACTCTCCACAGTTGCACTGTCGCTCTGAATTGGGGCGGCTGGAAAACTTTCCCTGATTATTCCACGTGTTCCTCAATGCCTTAAATTTTTTTTTTTTTTTTTTTTTTTTGCTAGCAAGTGAATTTTTGCTGACGCACTCACATTCTATAGCATTCGTTGCTCATCCCTCACTTGTTGTCTCTCCAGTTTAGCAGTTTTGTATCCTCACTACAAGCTGGTGGACCATTATGTTGAATGCAGGGCCATAGCCAAGGGGTTCAACACGCAATTTCACCTCCGCATTCGATCCTTTTTCTACATGCCCTTCATGCACTCAGAAGGTGAGACAGTCCTGAATGCCCTCTGTAAATTCCACACAGGACTCAGAATTTCTACAAATGCCATTTCATACGCCATTTCATAAGCCATTTCATCAGCCATTTCATCAGCCGTTTCATCAGCCATTATGAACACATTGCTTCTTGAGGCGCATTCATCAGGACATATTCAATCATTCAAGAGTTGGGCATAGAAGCAATCAAATCTGCCCAGCTCCCAGCCCTGTCTTTCAATTTCCACCCCCCTCTTTCAGTGCTTGCCCCCGCTTTCAGTGCTTTACCTCCCCCACTCTTTACCTCCCCCACTCTTTACCTCCCCCACTCTTTCCTCCCCCACTCTTTACCTCCCCCAATCTTTCCTTCCCACTACAAGACCAGCCAGATCAGGACCTCTGTGTGAAGCTGTTTTTGCAGTCAGTAACGGAAGAAGAATCAAAGAGCCTGCTCAAGTATCCACTTGCTCTCAAACGGTTGGTTGGTCGCTCCCACTCATTCCTTCCCACCAGCCCTGCCAGATGTGTGTGGGCAGCTGCTGTTGCCATCGGTACAGGAAGCGCCAGAAGGGCCAGCTCGAGTGGTCTCTGTCCCTCTCAAACTGTTGGTTGGCGTCCCGCACTCTTTCCCCCTCCACCAGATTTGCCCGATCAGGACCTCTGTGTGCGGCTGTTTTTGCAGTCAGTGGCAGACGCACCCAAAGGCTCGCTCAAGGAGTCTCTGTCTTTCTCAAACAGTTTGCATCCCCCCCTCATTCCCTCCCACCAGATTTGCCCGATCAGGACCTCTGTGTGCAGCTGTTTTTGCAGTCGGTGGCCGAAGCACCCGAAGGCCCTCTCAAAGAGTCTCTGGCCCAGTGGGTGCAGTTCGCTCACAAGCACCGCGACATCATTGTCAAGTTTGGGCGGTTTCCACATCGTAATGAGGTGCTGGGGAGAGAAAGTACAGCAGAAGAGGTGGAGCATGTGGCAACCCATGGGGGGTTCTAGATTTAGAGCAGTCTCTGCCCCAGTGGGTGCAATCCGCTCACAAGCACCACAGCATCATTGTAAAATCCGAGCGGTTTCCACACCGAAACTAGGTGCTGGGGAGAGAGCACGGCAGAAGAAGCTGAGTATGTGGCAACACAGGGGGGGTTCTATTCTAGGGGGGAATTGAGGAGGAAGGTGCGTGAAGAGGAGCAGATGAGGAAGAAGAGAGGAGGTAGAGGAGACTTTTCGGGTAGTATGCGAGTGCAAAGCGGCTTGAGAAAAAGTTATGAGGCAATGTGTGCACTCAAGAGGAATGAACATGTGTTCCTAGCATGCAGGTATACTTCAAGTTTGTCTGCTGCGATTTTCCCTAAGATCCAACAGACTTGGTCTGTTTGAGCAGATAGGACATCAGTTTGTCAGGCATTAATCAAACAAGGAGTTTCAGCACTTCCAACACAACAATTCTTGTGAGCAGCACAGTTTGTCTAGGCATTATCCTACAGTGGTAGTAGCACATGAGATTCCAGAGCAGAGCAAAAAAAAACTCCGTGCTTGCACCACTGGGAGAGATTGAAGAGTCTGCAGCATACCGTATGCTTCTGATACCAGTAGTAGGCTATCAAGGCAAGATTTGACTGTATGGTAGCAGGGCTCAAGTGATCCTCCTATCACCAGCTTCAGATGACGGGCTGACAAATGCTGCCCCAAGCAGGGAAAAGTTACTGCTCGGTGTGACCAGGAGGGAGAATCTGCTGGCTGTCTACACCAAGCTGTTTGAGAGCAGTAAGCTGGCAGAAGTCACTTGGCAGATCCCCTTCCATCTTACAACCATTGCAATACCTGCAGACAGGTTCTCCAAAGCTGAAGCTGACGAAGCCAATGAGGAAATGGTCCTCGTCCGTGCACTTGTAGCCCCTGAACGTGGGGCAGTACCTCCGAATGGCAAGCGAATGAAGGAAGCCGAGACACTAGCATGCTCAAACTGGTGATGCAGCCGCCGAGAGAGAGCGATTGCAGGTGGGAGAGCCGGGTGAAGCCTCGAGGCAAGACATCGGCAGCAGGACCACCAAGACCGTCTGCTGAGAGGTGGGTGAGACCTGATAGGGAGCAGAGCACTGCTGGTAAGGAATTCGGAAATTTACTTGGAGACGAAGGCCAGGGGGAAAGAGGCACAGTCAAGAATGTCTAGGTGCCGAAGTGCACATCCGATGGCTGTAGAGGATGGAGACTGGGGAATGGTAAGCGTCGTCAAAATAGATGCTGTCTCATCGGCTGCTGCAGTGACTACTGATGGTGTTTGCTCCTCCGAAGTGTCAGGCAGCCCACACGTTCCTGCATGATCCTCGCCAGGACCAGATGTTTCCCCTCCTTCCAAACCAGTCTGCTCGTCAATCTTTGTTCCCGGTCCCTCATCGACCTCATCGAGGTTGCCTGCATCCCAGTTATGCAGAATCAGATGCCTGATGGTTGGATGGGTGAAAAAAGAGTCGGGGATTCTGATTGCGCTTCCTGTGCAGAGAACCAGCCGTTGCAGGGCGGTCAATTTTGGCAGCATCTCCAGCCATTATGGATCGGCACTGGACAAGCGACAGATCTGAAAGGTGTGGGAGATTGCAAACGGAGCCAGGAAGATGCTTCAGAGCAGGATAGCGGAGGAAGAGCTCCTCAAGAGAGGAGAGAGTGCCGAGAGCATCCGGGAGGGCTTTGAGACTGAACGACGTTAGATGCAGGACCCGAAGCGACGAGAGCAGCGCGATGGATGCTGGGAGCCTTTCAAGTCTCACTGCATCAGAAAAGAACCAGTTAGGCAGCTCGGACACTCCAGCTTTTTTACAGAGGGCGTCAGGTAGTGAGTTCCACCAAGCATCAGCTGGGAAATTCGCGGGCAGAAGGCAGCGAATTCAGCAAAGAATGTTTCATCGATGAAGGACACGGCTCCATAGTCAAGCGAAACAGATGTCACTCCGGATTGGTGGGATAAGGATCGCAATAACGCGGACCCCCGAAGCTCGCGATTCTGCTTGACGGACGGACTTCTGAATTTGTGACGCGACGGAGAGCCATCGTCTGCACACCAGCGCGTGGTCAAAGGTGTCGTTGAGCGAGACTTTGGACAGAATCGACGAAAGAATGTTGTTAGGAAAGTCGGCCATAAATGTGGCTTGAATTTACGTGAACTGCTTCCCAGTAGCAATCCGATCAGACGCCGTCGCGTGCTTGCGTCCCGAGTAACGATATTTAGGAGACTGGACACGACAAGACGCCACGAGAGCCAGTAAGGCAATGGAACCATACAGACGTTATGTTGGGTTTCCCAACCTCGAGCTTATGTCTTGGAAGCCCCGACGGCGTAGCATGCAGCCAGTTAGGATCACTTTACCCCGACGCGTATTTGCGTTGTTCGTGGCTGCTCGACCATGCATGGATTACCGATCGGAAACGTAGGTAATCGCTTTCAGCATTACCTAGGAGGGACCTGGACCGTAGTGGTAGCTTTCGCCTGAGAGCGCGTCCCAAGTGTGCGTCTCCCTGACACCTCGTACAGGTCCAAAGCGGTGCTTTAAGGTTGAAAACGGTGAAGCGGGAATACCGTTTTCAATTGTTTTTCACCGTACACCACCGCAAACGATTTATGTGGGACGTACTCCTGGGACTTGCATAGTGTTGTAGGTACACTCTGGTTTGATGGACACCAAATGAGTCATAACTTGATGCAAAAGTCACACGTCATCAATAAGTGAACATTCATGCACACATATACAAATATTTAGGTATACATACATACATCCTATGCAGTGCCATATTCTCCAAATGTACTGAAAGCAAGCACAGCAATGCACCTCTCCCATTTCCTCGGAACCATAGTATTACTGCTCTTCTCCATTAGGACGAGCCACTCGTATCAAAAGCAGAATCCTGTTGCTCAGTGGAGCGGGATAAATTTTCCGTGCTATCTCCGTCAAGCTTCACATCAATCATTCGAAAGAGTGCACCAGCAGCACGAGGCGCATCATCGTCTGCACCAGGCACGTTACCATCATCATCAGCAAGGCTGTGGGAAGAGCCGGAGAGAGGATAGTGAGGTGGGTTGAGCGGGTGGGAGCAGCGGAAGATGTAGATGGGGAGGGCGAGCGCGAAGAGCATGGATGCGATGGACACGACGATGAAGCCCCACCACAGCATGTTGAAGTCCCGCTCCATGTCCTGCGCTAGCCCAGAGGCATACTGAAGAAAGAAGAGGGGGGGGGGAGGGGGAGGGGGGGGGGAAAAGAGGAAGGGAGCCACAAAGAGAGGGTTGACAGCCCCACCACTGCATGTTGAAGTCCCGCTCCATGTCCTGCACTAGCCCAGAGGCGTACTGGCGAAAGAGGGCCGGGGGAAGAGGAAGGGAGCCACAAAGAGAGGGTTGAGAACCCCACCACAGCATGTTGAAATCCATCTCTATGTCCTGCACTAGCCCAGAGGCGTACTGAGGGCGGTGGGGGGGGGAGGGCGGGGGGAAGGAGGGGGCCAGGGAGAGGAGGGATGGAATTGGGGAGGGCGAGCGCGAAGAGCATGGATGCGATGGATATGATGACAAAGCCCCACCACAGCATGCTAAGTCGGTCTCCATGTGCTGCGCTAGCCCAGAGGCGTACTGAGGGCGGGGGGGGAAGGGGGGGGGAGGGGGGAGGGAGATAGAAGGAGGAGAGGGTAACGTTTGGGAGGGCGAGAGCAGCTGGCATGGATGCGATGGACACGATGATGTATCCCCACCCCACCCCACCCCACCCCACCACAGCATTTTTGAGGCGCCTCAAAAATAGACTCCACCACAGCATGCTGAAATCCCGCTCCATGCCCTGCGCTAGCCCAGAGGCGTACTGGATGGCAGGAGAGAGAAGGAGATGTGGGCGGAATACATACGAGTCAAGTCAGCTCAAGAAGGTTGAATGCGTGAGACGTGTCAAGAAGATAGACGCTTGTTTCGAGTCAACTCAAAAAGGTAGAACATACGAGAAAAGTCTAGCCATACCTCACAAATCTGCTTGACGTAGGTGCAGTTGGCGATCTGAAGCAGGGCGGGCACGGTGGAGTAGAGGAGTTTCAGGGCGGACGAGGCGTTCTTGAGGTCATTCAGCACGGCCTCTGGCACTTGCACCTCCAGATGCGTGCCATTGGGATGCTGTATGTGGCACGTGCTGTTGGAGCATGCTGCTGCGGCTAGTGTCTGGCGGGGTTTTGGGGAGGGAATGGAGCGTGGCAAGAGGCAGACGAGGCGTTCTTGAGGCCATTCAGCACGGCCTCTGGCACTTGCACCTGCAGGTGCGTGCCGTTAGGGGTGCTCTTTGCGACGCACGCGCTGTTGGAACAAGCGTCTGTGGCTAGCCTAAAATGATGCCGGGTGTGACCGCACTTGGCCCCCGTCTGTGGCTAGTATCTGGAGGTAAGACAGAAGGGAATGGAAGGAGAACTGAGGCGTTCTTGTGGTCATTCAGCACGGCCTCAGGCACTTGCACCTGCAGGAGCGTGCCGTTGGAGCAAAGCGACTGTGGCTAGAGTCTGGGGGTGAGGGGAGGGAGGCAAGCGGGCGAATGACACGTGAAGTGTTGCAAATCACGCTGTGCTGTGGCATGCTCCAACAACAGCACTTGCACCTGGCACTGGCAGGAGTTGTTGGAACATGCTGCTGTGCTGTGGCCAGTGGGGCCATTTATTATAATTCTAAAAAATTACTCCACCGTTGTTGGGGCACGCTTCTCTGGCCAGCGCCTGGGGCGTTACCCACCTAGTGGGATGTGCAAAGGCCAAAGTAGGAGTAATGTGTGGGGCGAAAGGGATATCCGCCTGGGGCGGGTGGATGGAGAAACACAGGCTTTGGAGGGCAGTGCGGGCGAGGGGAGCATGTGGGGGAACGGCACAGGAAGGAGAAATGCGTGCAGTCCTTGATTTTGCAGGGTGTTTTTGAGAATTCTCAAAAACACCCTGCAAAATCAAGGAGCATGTGGGGGAATGGCACAGGAAGGAGAAATGTGTGCAGTGGAACGGGATTTCAGGCTATGGGCATTCTTGTTTTTGTTAGTGCAAGCATGCAGCTGGTAAAACACGAAATAAGCTGGTAAGTACCAGGATGAGTATCAATCACTAAAGCAGCTGCCTACCAGGGAGGCACCCAATAACACAGCACTTTAACAGTAGTACCCACCTGACCAACTTTCCCCTGCTAAAAAAAAAAAAAAAAAAACCACCGGAAAAGAAAAAAACGAAAAAGAACCAGAAAGAAAAGGAATCGAAAAGGAAAGAAACCAAAAGCCGTGAAGAGGTTATACCTGAACTAGTTCAGTGGGCGGCATGGTCCCAGGTAGGACTTTTGAGGCGCCTCAAAAGATACCTGAAGAAGTTCAGTGGGCGGCATGGTCCCAGGTAGGCAGGAGGTGAGGTTGTAGGTTAGACTTGTGCCGTCCGCATAGGGGTTGCAGATGCCACTGGCGTTGACCGCAGTCAACAGCTGCGGGTTTGAGGGAGTGGCGGAGAGGAAGGGGAGGGATGGGACGGAATGGTGAGGGATTGATAGAGATGGCCAAAGGATAGTGATCTGTGCTGCCTGCATAGGGGTTAAATATGCCACTGGCGTTGAACGCAGTCAACAGCTGCGGAACAAGGGTGAGGAAGAGATCGGGAGACATGGGGAGGGACGGAAATATAAAATAAATCACGACAAAAGGATGGGGTGGAGGGGGACTGAGGGAAGTTGAGGGGGACTGAGGAGGACTCATGCAGGGGGGCTGATGGAGGGGGGCTGATGGAGAGGGACCAGTGCAGGGGGGACGGTGGAGGAGGGATGGTGGAGAAGGACTGGTAGAGGAGGGACTGGTGCTGGGGAATGGTGCTGATAGGAGGGTACCTGAGGGCAGTTTGTAGCGATGGAGGCGTTGAGTTGGGTGATTGAGGCCGAGAGGGCGGCAGCAGTGGTGTTGAGGGCTTGTTGCATGTCGTCCGCCTTGGCACACGGAAGCCACGCCTGCATGGTGGAGTTGCCCATGGGCTCCTGCTGCGACACCTGCCACATGGCCGCACTTGTGTCGCCCGCAAATCTGAGGGAGGGAAGTATAAAAGGGGAAGAGGGGAAGGGAAGTATAAATGGGAGTTATGAAAGGGGAAGAGGGGAAGGCAGCCACGCCTGCATGGTGGAGTTGCCCATAGGCTCCTGCTGCGACACTTGCCACATGGCGGCACGGCACTGGTGTCGCCCGCAAAGCTGCATTGGCATGGGAGGAAGGAGAGAGAAAAGGGATGGAACAGAGGGGGAGAGGGGAAGGCAGCCACGCCTGCAGAGAGGAGTTTCCGTTGCGAGACATACCACATGGCGGCACTGGTGTCGCCCGCAAAGCTGGGGGAGGGGGGAGGCAGAGGGATGGAGAGGGATGGAGAGGGGAGATAAAGGGGCTGAAAGCTGCGACACCTACAGTACCAGATTGCCACACTGGTGTCACCGGCAAAGCTAAAAGGAAGGGGAGGGAGAGGCGGAGGGAGAGGCGGAGGGAGAGGCGGAGGGAGACGACTTTTGAGGCGCCTCAAACACCGGCAAAGCTACAAGGAAGCGGAGGGAGAGGACGAGGGATATGTATGGGGATGGATGGAAAGAACATGATAGGGAGAGGAGGGTGGGGGGAAGAGAGGGGACGCGGCGCGGGGAGGAAAAAGCGAGGAGGCAAGGAGATGAGCGAAAAGGAAGGGCAGAGGATGGAGAGGGGGAGTATCAAGCAGGGGCTACACGGGGGAATCAAACCCTACAGGGCTTTAAGAGCTTCAGAACTGCAAGGAACAACTGGTGAGGAGGAACGGGCCGATGGAACCTATATACCCGGGGAGCAGGGGGAGTCCACAACTGAGACATCCAGTGAGGAGGAAGGCGTCGAGACGAACAGGCGCGCTGGAGGGAGAGAAGCTGGCCCAACCCCCAGATCTAGGGGACGAGGGTCCAGCCGCATGCGTAATACTCGGGCACTGCTGGACACCCATCCCCAGGCGGCTCCGCAGCTGTCCCCAGAAGAACTGGCAAATGACGCCTCCCGATTCGCCGAGATCGCCAATTGGGACATCGCAATTCTCTGCGACAGTCGCCAACCCCCTCTCTCCCGCCGGTTACCCCCCCAAATTCGTCAACTTTTCGCGCTCGCCTTACTGACACCCCTCCTTTTCCTCGCCAAACATCCAGCCTCCATCGAGGGTTGGATCCTGTTACTCTACCTCCCGTGCCTCACCCTTCGCCTACCTTCACCGAGACGTCCTCATTGGCCCGCGGCAGAAAAACGCCTCCAACAATTTCTCGCGGGCCAATGGGACGCACTGTACCAAGCAGCCGCTTCCGCTGTCACCCTGCCACCCCCACCCCGCCACTTACTTGACACCCTTGGGAAAATATCCCGAGCTGAGGGGTTGGTACGACGCGGCAGCTTACGACGGGCACTGCTCGCGTTGACTTCAACCCCAGTCAGCAAGTCCACCCCCGCAGTCCTGGATGCGCTGAAGTCAAAACACCCCCCCCCGCTCGTCGAAGACCTCAGCTGGCCGCAGCTGGGCGAGGACTGCAGATCGCCGACAATCGACTTCGCTGATTTTGCGAAGCTCCTCTCTCGCTGCGAAAATGGGGTTGGAGCGGGGCCCTCGGGAATGACCTTCGAGCACCTTCACGATGCCTCGCTATCCAACCCCTCAGTCGCCAAACACCTTCACGAGCTCGTTCAGCGCCTAGTCGCGGGTAACCTGCTGCACGAAGTCAGCCAGCTCATGACTTCTTCACGCCTCCTGGCACTTACCAAACCAGATAGGGGTACTCGCCCCATCGCTATCGGCGAGCGTCTGCATCGCCTAGCGGCTAAATCCGCACTCATCTCCTCAACGCAGCCGGCGCAAGACTATTTCCTACCACACCAATTCGGGGTAGCAATCAGGAGCGGAGGAGAAATCATCATCCACGCCACCAGGGGCTTTACCTCCGCGCGCCCGGGCTCGCTGATTTTGCAAGTCGACCTCTCAAACGCGTTCAACAGCGTCGACCGCGGGGCCATCATTCACGCCATCAATAACTCGCCCCTGCGCCCCCTCCTACCGTTCATACAGTTCTCGTATGGGGCACCGTCCCTGCTTTACCTCGACGCAGAGTTCGATAGCCCACCCCTACTGAGCACGCGGGGAGTCCGCCAAGGGGACCCCATGGGCCCCCTCCTCTTTTGCGGCTGCCATCCACCCAGCACTCCAGGCCACCGCGGCGGCCCACCCCGGGGTTCTCTGCCTCGTCTACGCAGACGACGTGACTTTCGTGGGCGATCCGGACGCCTGAACCTCGGCGTTCCTAGACTTCACCGCCGCCATGGAACACATCGGTCTCTCCCACAACCCCGCGAAATGCGCAGCATGGTCAGCCGAGCGCCCCGCGACTGACTGCCTTCCGCCAGACATACCCTTCAACAGAGAAGGGGTCCGCGTGCTTGGCAGTTTTATAGGCACGCCAGAAGGCACAGCCGGCTTCCTCCGCACCCAGCTGCCCGTGCTTGCCGAACCCCTCGCCACGCTGGCCATGATGGACCAACAGTCCTCCTCCCTCCTCCTCACACACTGCGTATCTAGGCGCGTCTCGTACTTAACCCGCACCACCCCCCTTGATTTCCTGCCCCTGGAGGTCTGGTCCGAGTGGGGCAGAGAGCTATTCCACACCCTACTACGCGCCTGCAACCTCCAACCACCACGAGGCGAGTCGGAGCGAGTGCGTACCTGGGCCCAAGCGTCCCTCCCTCCCTCTTTTGGAGGGCTGGGGCTCACCGACCCAGCGATTGAAGGGCATCCAGCCTTCCTCACCAGCGTCACCCAAGCCCAGGGCCTCCTAGCTGCCCTCCCAGCAGCGTCCAGAGGGCCCCTAGCCGACTCTGTACGCCACCTCACACCACCCTTCACCAGCCCAACCCACTTGCATACCTGGCTGGCGAAGTGTGAAACGGCGATGCCCCCACGGGCACTGGAGCTTCTACAATCCGAGCGGGGGGAACCCTTGGGCTCCCCTCTCCAACACCGCCTATCCCTCGAAGTCCAGGCCGTGCGGTACGCCGACCAAGTGGCGACCTCACGGACAATGGACCCAAACCCCCACTCCGGCCACACGCAACGCCTCTTCTCCCTGGCTGGATATGGAGCAGGAGATTGGCTCCATGCCATCCCAATCTTCCCATCCCTCCGCCTAAAAGCTCCACACTTCGCCTGGCCTTCCGCCTCGACCTTCCGTTCCCAGCCCCCCGCACCTGCAACTGCGCCGAGGAATTCGAAATCCTCGACACAAGGCTGCCCAACCACCTTTTTCGGTGTGGCACCGGGCACGGACGGACAGACACCCATAACGCCCTGCGGGATGAGAGCATCCGGATGGCCCGGGACGCTGACTTCATAGTCACCAAGGAGACCACCATCTACAGCTCTGTGGACGGCCACAAGGCCGACCTCGCACTTCGCGACCGCAGCTCCGGCGCTGTCTGGATCTGTGACGTCACCGTCACAGACCCCATCAGCAGCCGGGACCCGGACGCACGGAAAGGTCGAGGATACATGGCCCGAGAGCAGGCCGATAAGAAAATCCACCATTACCGCAACAGGGCTCCCTACGTTGGTTTCTTCCCGCTGGCGGTCGAGACATACGGCTGCCCCTGCGCCGAAGTCCCCACCTTCCTGAAGCTGCTGGCAGACACAGGTGCCAGGAGGCTCTTCAACGCGGACCCCACTTCCTACCAAGCAGCAAAACTGCTCCACCAGTTCCGCCAACGCTGGTCAGTGACGCTACAGCGGGCGCAGGCCTTGGCGTACCTGGGCAAAGTTAATGAAGCCTCCCCTGCCCCCCACACCCCCGTGGGCATCCCTGACGCCGATATGGCTCCAGGGGACTGCTTTGCCATAGCAGAACCCCTAGGGGAGCTCGAGTAGACTCGGGGCCCCTTAAACATGCACGTACCTTGACTTGTTGCCTTCTGCCTGCCTAGCCTGTACCCGGGATTCCACGCAATAAACGGACCGCTTGAGAGAGAGAGAGAAAAAAAGATAGAAAAAAAAACCAACAACGACGTCGACAGGCTTTTAGAATAGCTGCATGCACGCACAAGATCGTACTGCTTGGGACTCACTCACCCAGTCAGTAGCATTCAGTGCTGTTCTGGTCCCTCCCAGCATTCGGTACTGAAACTAGAACATTGTAACCCCTCACCCGGTCAGCACTTTGCCTTCACTTGATTGTAGCACTTAGCACTGAAACTAGGCATCATAACTCCAAACTCACCCAGTCAGCCACTTTGTCTTCACTTGATCCTAGCGCTTGCACTAAACCAGAGAGCACTTAGCACTCAACCAGAGAGCACTTAGCCGCACCTGGCCCCAGCACTTACAGAGTGGAGAGCAGGCAGAGGGTGACAGTGCACCAAGTGATGAACCCCATGGCCCAGATGAGGCTAACGAGTCTGCTTGTAAGGGGGATAAGGAGATAGCACACATCGCAGAGAGAGGAGGGATGCATTATGAGAGGGAGAAGGGCCAGTAGAACAAGTGCAGGTGACTGTAGAGGGAGAAATAAGGGGTGGAGAGGGAGGAATAGTGGTACATGAGATCCATACTACAAGGTCCCTGCCTCAAAAGCTAGACTCAGCCCTCAGTCGATGACTCCCCTCGTCTGTACACTCGGCAATGCCAAGCATACACACAAGAAACCAACCACGTTGACAAGAAAGCATACACTGACAAGCTTTTCCCAAGCAACCACATTGCCTCTTCCCCGGGCTTACACGTGCGATGCAACAGCCCACTGGAGGAACGCAGTCACTGCAGCAAGGGGGTTTGAGGAGAGAGTAAGGAGATGGAGAACCGGGAGGAAACGAGAGGGAGATGGGGGAAGAGAGGGAAAGTGAGAGAACGTGAGTCAGCTCTTAACACTTCCCCAACCCCAACACTTATCCCAGCTTTAGCACCCTGGGTAATTTACTTCTTTATGCGATAAAAAAACCCAACCAGCCTTAGCACTCCGGGTTATTTACGCAGACGCAAGCAGTTAAAATGCCAAATGGGAGAGTGCAGAGTAATCTCCTGTGTGAAAAAAAAAACCAGAGGAATGAAGAAGCACACACAGGAGATTACTATGCGGACCTCCTGTATAGTACACTTGGCCCCCATCCCCAGCAGCACGCGCAGAGCAGTGACCGAGGACAGACTTCACCGTCACTTCACAGCAACACTTCACTGTCCCAGCAGCACTCGGCACTCACCCTCTCCCAGCAGCACGCGCAGAGCAGTGCCCGAGCCAATGACCAGAATGGCGACAGAAAGCACTGCCAAAGGGGTTGCAGTGGCACTTGAGTCGACTCATAAGTCGCCTCTCCTATGACCTCCCCTTTGCACTCACCCACTCACCCACTCCCAGCTCTCACCCACTCACCCACTCCCAGCTCTCACCCACTCACCCACTCCCAGCACTCACCCACTCGCCCACTCCCAGCACTCACCCACTCACCCACTCCCAGCTCTCACCCACTCACCCACTCCCAGCACTCACCCACTCGCCCACTCCCAGCACTCACCCACTCGCCCACTCCCAGCTCTCACCCACTCACCCACTCCCAGCACTCACCCACTCACCCACTCCCAGCAGCACGAGCAGAGCCGTAACAGAGCCGATGACCAGAATGGTGACAGTGCTGCCAACGGGGTTGGAGAGATTCGAAACAAAATTTACAAACGATGGGGAGGTGGATGACGAAGGGGAGGTGGATGACGAAGGGGAAGAGGAAGTGCGAGAGGGCATCATCATGCAACAATGTCCATGGTAGGTGTCCTCACCATGCGATCTTGAGGTAGCCACCATGGTGATACCTGTCAGCGCAAGGGTGATACCAGCCATCCATCCTGTCAGCGCACGGGTGATACCAGCCATCCATCCTGTCAGCGCAAGGGTGATACCAGCCATCCATCCTGTCAGCGCAAGGGTGATACCAGCCATCCATCCTGTCAGCGCAAGGGTGATACCAGCCATCCATCCTGTCAGCGCAAGGGTGATACCAGCCATCCATCCTGTCAGCGCAAGGGTGATACCAGCCATCCATCCTGTCAGCGCAAGGGTGATACCAGCCATCCATCCTGTCAGCGCAAGGGTGATACCAGCCATCCATCCTGTCAGCGCAAGGGTGATACCAGCCATCCATCCTGTCAGCGCAAGGGTGATACCAGCCATCCATCCTGTCAGCGCAAGGGTGATACCAGCCATCCATCCTGTCAGCGCAAGGGTGATACCAGCCATCCATCCTGTCAGCGCAAGGGTGATACCAGCCATCCATCCTGTCAGCGCAAGGGTGATACCAGCCATCCATCCTGTCAGCGCAAGGGTGATACCAGCCATCCATCCTGTCAGCGCAAGGGTGATACCAGCCATCCATCCTGTCAGCGCAAGGGTGATACCAGCCATCCATCCTGTCAGCGCAAGGGTGATACCAGCCATCCATCCTGTCAGCGCAAGGGTGATACCAGCCATCCATCCTGTCAGCGCAAGGGTGATACCAGCCATCCATCCTGTCAGCGCAAGGGTGATACCAGCCATCCATCCTGTCAGCGCAAGGGTGATACCAGCCATCCATCCTGTCAGCGCAAGGGTGATACCAGCCATCCATCCTGTCAGCGCTATCGGTAGCGCGGGTGATACCAGCCATCCATCCTGTCAGCGCACGGGTGATACCAGCCATCCATCCTGTCAGCGCAAGGGTGATACCAGCCATCCATCCTGTCAGCGCAAGGGTGATACCAGCCATCCATCCTGTCAGCGCAAGGGTGATACCAGCCCATCCATCCTGTCAGCGCAAGGGTGATACCAGCCATCCATCCTGTCAGCGCAAGGGTGATACCAGCCATCCATCCTGTCAGCGCAAGGGTGATACCAGCCATCCATCCTGTCAGCGCAAGGGTGATACCAGCCATCCATCCTGTCAGCGCAAGGGGTGATACCAGCCATCCATCCTGTCAGCGCACGAGGTGATACCAGCCATCCATCCTGTCAGCGCACGGGTGATACCAGCCATCCATCCTGTCAGCGCACGGGTGATACCAGCCATCCATCCTGTCAGCGCAAGGGTGATACCAGCCATCCATCCTGTCAGCGCAAGGGTGATACCAGCCATCCATCCTGTCAGCGCACGGGTGATACCAGCCATCCATCCTGTCAGCGCAAGGGTGATACCAGCCATCCATCCTGTCAGCGCAAGGTGATACCAGCCATCCATCCTGTCAGCGCAAGGGTGATACCAGCCATCCGTCCTGTCAGCGCAAGGGTGATACCAAGCCATCCATCCTGTCAGCGCAAGGGTGATACCAGCCATCCATCCTGTCAGCGCAAGGGTGATACCAGCCATCCATCCTGTCAGCGCAAGGGTGATACCAGCCATCCATCCTGTCAGCGCAGGGTGATACCAGCCATCCATCCTGTCAGCGCAAGGGTGATACCAGCCATCCATCCTGTCAGCGCAAGGGTGATACCAGCCATCCATCCTGTCAGCGCACGGGTGATACCAGCCATCCATCCTGTCAGCGCAAGGGTGATACCAGCCATCCATCCTGTCAGCGCAAGGGTGATACCAGCCATCCATCCTGTCAGCGCACGGGTGATACCAGCCATCCATCCTGTCAGCGCAAGGGTGATACCAGCCATCCATCCTGTCAGCGCAAGGGTGATACCAGCCATCCATCCTGTCAGCGCAAGGGTGATACCAGCCATCCATCCTGTCAGCGCAAGGGTGATACCAGCCATCCATCCTGTCAGCGCAAGGGTGATACCAGCCATCCATCCTGTCAGCGCAAGGGTGATACCAGCCATCCATCCTGTCAGCGCAAGGGTGATACCAGCCATCCATCCTGTCAGCGCAAGGGTGATACCAGCCATCCATCCTGTCAGCGCAAGGGTGATACCAGCCATCCATCCTGTCAGCGCACGGGTGATACCAGCCATCCATCCTGTCAGCGCAAGGGTGATACCAGCCATCCATCCTGTCAGCGCAAGGGTGATACCAGCCATCCATCCTGTCAGCGCACGGGTGATACCAGCCATCCATCCTGTCAGCGCAAGGGTGATACCAGCCATCCATCCTGTCAGCGCAAGGGTGATACCAGCCATCCATCCTGTCAGCGCAAGGGTGATACCAGCCATCCATCCTGTGAGCGCAAGGGGTGATACCAGCCATCCATCCTGTCAGCGCAAGGGTGATACCAGCCATCCATCCTGTCAGCGCAAGGGTGATACCAGCCATCCATCCTGTCAGCGCAAGGGTGATACCAGCCATCCATCCTGTCAGCGCAAGGGTGATACCAGCCATCCATCCTGTCAGCGCACGGGTGATACCAGCCATCCATCCTGTCAGCGCAAGGGTGATACCAGCCATCCATCCTGTCAGCGCACGGGTGATACCAGCCATCCATCCTGTCAGCGCACGGGTGATACCAGCCATCCATCCTGTCAGCGCAAGGGTGATACCAGCCATCCATCCTGTCAGCGCAAGGGTGATACCAGCCATCCATCCTGTCAGCGCAAGGGTGATACCAGCCATCCATCCTGTCAGCGCAAGGGTGATACCAGCCATCCATCCTGTCAGCGCAAGGGTGATACCAGCCATCCATCCTGTGAGCGCAAGGGTGATACCAGCCATCCATCCTGTCAGCGCAAGGGTGATACCAGCCATCCATCCTGTCAGCGCAAGGGTGATACCAGCCATCCATCCTGTGAGCGCAAGGGTGATACCAGCCATCCATCCTGTGAGCGCTATCAACTGCTCTTGCCTCAATCTCCGTTCGTCAGAGCCTGAGTTTAAGTCGAGTCAAGCACCCCTGCATGCACTCACACAATGTACCCACTCACACAATGTACCCACTCACACAATGTACCCACTCACACAATGTACCCACTCACACAATCTACCCACTCACACAACCTTCACGGGGCCATCCATTCCGTCGACGCTATCACGCACCTTATTCACCCACGCCACGCCCATCCATTCAGACACTCTAGGCTCGACCCACCCACGCCAAACGATCCACCCGCGCCAAACGATCCACCCACGCCAAACGATCCACCCACGCCAAAACGATCCACCCACGCCAAACGATCCACCCACGCCAAACGATCCACCCACGCCAAACGATCCACCCACGCCAAACGATCCACCCACGCCAAACGATCCACCCACGCCAAACGATCCACCCACGCCAAACGATCCACCCACGCCAAACGATCCACCCACGCCAAACGATCCACCCACGCCAAACGATCCACCCATGCCAAACGATCCACCCACGCCAAACGATCCACCCACGCCAAACGATCCACCCACGCCAAACGATCCACCCACGCCAAACGATCCACCCACGCCAAATGATCCACCCACGCCAAACGATCCACCCACGCCAAACGATCCACCCACGCCAAACGATCCACTCACACAATCTTCACGTAGCCATCCATCCTGTCAATGCTAAGCCGGCCATTGAGTAAAAAAAACCCACACTCACACACTCTACCCACTCATCTGTCCACTCACACAATCTTCACGTAGCCATCCATTCTGTCGACGCTATCAGTGATCCGAGCCTCGATGTCAGCTGCCATGTGCTCTGCCTTCGCTGCTCCCTGGAGCAGCGACTGCTGGGTGGGGGCTGGGGGAATGGGAGGTGGGGAGAGAGGCGGAGAGGAGGGGAGGGGAGGGGTGGGGAGGGGTGGGGTGGGGTGGGGAGCGTACGGGGAACAGTAATGCAAAGACAGCAGTGTTGGCGGGGTGTTGGATGGCGGGGGAGAGGTTGTGAATGACTAGATGTGCAAGCGGGGGATCAAGCGGGGTGACTGTACAGGGAGAAAGCACTCCAGGGAACAGATGTGAGAATACAGGTTGGGGGGGAGGGGAGCGTACGCGGAACGATGACGCCGAAGACAGCAGCGTTGGCGGATTGCTGCACGGCGAGGGAGAGGTTTTGAGTGACGCCCACGACGGCTTGTGTTTGTGGCGAGAGTGAACTGGGTGGCGCTGCTGTAGTTGCTCTGGAAGAGCACCTGCCCCGTTACCAGCAGCGCAAAGCCCACGCTGGGCGGAGCAGGAGAGGGGACACGAGACAGGGAACAGGGAAAGGTCAACTGGGTGGCGCTGCTGTAACTTGTAATTGCTCTGGAAGAGCACCTGCCCCCGCTACCAGCAGCGCAAAGCCCACGCTGGCGGAGCAGCGAGTTACAGTAGGCAGCGCGGGGGGGGGGAAGGGGGGGGAAGGGGGGGGGAAGGGGGGGGGGGGGATTTGGAGGAGGGGAGGAGGGGAGGAGGCGAGGAGGGGGGGTTGGGAGGGTAGAGGGGAGAGAAGGAGGGTAAGGAGGAGAGGAGGGAATGGGAGAAGGGGGATGCCGGCAGGGGATGGAGAGAAGGAGGTGAGGGAGAGGTTGCGAGTGGCACCCACAACGGCTTTCCTACTGGTGAGAGTGTGAACTGCGTGACTGGCGCTGCTGTGAGTGATTGTTTTTTTAATTCTGAAATTTCACTCTGGAATAGCACCTCCCCCGTTACAAGCAGTGCAACGCCCACTCAACGCCCACTCAATGCCCACTCCACGCCCACTCCATGCCCACTCAACGCCCACTCAACGCCCACTCAACGCCCACTCAACGCCCACTCCACGCCCACTCAACGCCCACTCCACGCCCACTCCACGCCCACTCACAGGATGATGAGGGGCGGCCAATGAGAGCGCGACAAGTGGTACGCGGATCTGAAACGTTGTGTACTGAGGCGGGTCGCTGTCCATGCGCGACTTCCACCGCTTGCGGCAGAAGAGGCATGCGCAGAGCGCGAAAGCGAGGATGCTTATACCGAATATAACCCACGCCACCCCACTATGAGGCCATAGACCCCCGCCCATGCCACTGACTGGAAGGGGGGGAGGGACGGATGGAGTGAGTGAGGGAGGGAGGGAGGGAGGGAGGGAGGGAGGGAGGGAGGGAGGGAGGGAGGGAGGGAGGGAGGGAGGGAGGGAGGGAGGGAGGGAGGGAGGGGAGGGAGGGAGGGAGGGAGGGAGGGAGGGAGGGAGGGAGGGAGGGAGGGATGGAGTGAGGGAGGGAGGGAGGGAGGGAGGGAGGGAGGGAGGGAGGGAGGGAGGGAGGGAGGGAGGGAGGGAGGGAGGAGGGAGGGAGGGGAGGGAGGGAGGGAGGGAGGAGGGAGGGAGGGAGGAGGGAGGAGGGAGGGAGGGAAGGGAGGGAGGGAGGAGGGAGGGAGGGAGGGAGGGAGGAGGGAGGGAGGGAGGAGGGGAGGGAGGGAGGGAGGGAGGGAGGGAGGGGAGGGAGGAGGGAGGGAGGGAGGGAGGGAGGGAGGGAGGGAGGAGGGAGGGAGGGAGGGATGGAGGGAGGGGGAGGGAGGGATGGAGGGAGGGAGGGAGGGAGGAGGGAGGGAGGGAGGGAGGGAGGGAGGAGGAGGGAGGGAGGGAGGGAGGGAGGGAGGAGGGAGGGAGGAGGGAGGGAGGGAGGGGGAGGAGGGAGGGAGGGAGGGAGGGAGGGGGAGGGAGGGAGGGAGGGAGGGAGTAAGAAGAAGGGGAAGAATGAGAAAGGAAGGGATGTAGAGGGGGAGGGAGGGAGGGAGGGAGAGGGTGAGGGTGGGATTGAGAAAAGGGTTAACAAGGAGGAAGGGAGGGAGAGAAATAGAAGGAGGGGAGCAGGACAGAATACAAACAGGTACTAGCGATGAATTCAGTGTTCGTATACAGAGGCGATGGGCTTAACGACCAAGCGACATGCCTGCCCAGGCACCAGGCACTCGTGTACGCAGGGTGTTTTTGGCAATTCTCAATAACGCCCTGCAAATTCATGTGATGACGCCTCTGATGATCCTGAGAAATGTTCCACTGCAACAGACATAATGCGCAACATTAACAAGAGCACCGCACAGCACCGCACGGCACAGCACAGCACAGCACAGCACAGCACAGCACAGCACAATGGAGAGTGTTGACTCACCGAGAGGCTCCTTACCGGGCAGTAATATTTGCTGCTGGGGTCCCACCCCCTCGTCTTTTGCGTCGACTCAAAAGAGACGAGGAAAAGGGCGAGAGGGGAGGTACGCCCTTACCGCCCAGTGGTGCTTGCTGCTGGGGACCCACCGCTGTCGGGGATTTGCTCTTCTGAGTTGACGAAAACGAAGAGGGAGGGGCGGGAGGGAAAGTACGCTCTTACTGCCCAGTAGTATTTGCTGCTGGGGTCCCACCCGCCTTCGTAGTACTGGAACTGCTGCAGCGGGTCGATTCGCCTAGTGCGGTTCTCAGCCAACGGCTCCATCTGCGGCACGTCCACTAAGAGCCGCTTAGCAAAGTACCGTTCTTCTAAGAGGCTCCGTGTGAGGCGCGACTGAAGCAATTGCTGCAGATGTCCGATTCGCCGATAGCGGGCGCGGTCCTCCCCTTTCCGCCATGGACGGCCGACTGAGCAATTGTCGCCGCACGAAGTGCTGCGAGAGCTGACGTGCTGGCGAGACCTGTAACCGCAATCGCACGGACTCGCAGCCTGTTTGTGCGTTCGGCAATCGCACTGCCGCCGCGGCGGGTGCTGCTGCGTTGTGCCATTCTGTACGTCCGACGTACAGTCGGCTTGTGAGCCGCGACCTGTTCCATGCTGCGGGACGACACCCGTTCCGTTCTGTGGGTCGAAACGCGGCTCGAAACGAGGGTCGAAACCGTTCCGCCTGCCGTTCTGTAAGTCACGATCCGTCCCGCTCTGCGGGTCGTCACCTGCCGCAACGGACACCAGGAGACCTACAATACAGTAAAACGCCACTAGTAGCAGCGAGAGGCTTGGCGCGCAGTTCATCTGTGCCATAGTGCGCGTAGGCCCATCTACCGAGGCTCTGTTTTGCGGCAGCGCGCCAACTCCGTGGGTGATTTTTTAGTCGACTCAAAAATGGCTTAGAATACAGTATGACACCATTAGTAGAAAGAGGCTTGGCGCGCAGATCAAATGTGCAGGTAGACTCTGTCGGGTAAGCACCTAGCGATGCTCTGTTTTGCGGCGGCGCGTCAGCTCTGTGCGGAGGACGCAACGAGTGATCGCCGTTTACTCAGTCAACGAAATACTACGAAGAAATAAGACGAGGCGCATTGCGTAGTAAGGAAGAATTATGCTCGCTACCGCTGGAAGTGAAAGGTCCAGAGTTGACGGCGCGTGGCACGAGGCTTCGATGAAAGAGCAACATCGATAGCAGCGCACTGAACGGGAGGCGTGTGACGAAAGACACGCTAGTGGTTTCGAGGATACCTGCGGCTCTTCAGTATTCAATCAAGGGTTAGGCAGAACGTTTCGTGGAGGTAGTAGCGTACGCGCGCTCACTCGTCGTCTAGCGTCCTCTACGAATCGAAGGCCTTGAAGAATGGTTGGAGTCTACTTTTCCGGGATGTAAATTCTCGCTGTACTCTTGCTCGTAAATCTCCGCGAAAGCTTACTTAGTTAGCTCGTACTTGTGGAGGTAATTAGGGACGCCACACGCCTCTGTAAGGCAGGGACCCTACTGCAGCACGGAAAACCTGGTGTCTATGAGCCTGCCTCACTAGCGGTGATGCAGTGAGGTAAGAGAGGCTCCGAAGTTCTCATTTTCACGAACAGCTTCCGAACCGAATATTCAACGTACTTTACCACGTCGAAATAGTTATACAGCGTAGTCCAGCACATCATACCGCTTTCAACCTCTCTGAGTGGTCGACCCTGAGGCGTGTTCGAAAAAGAAATGTGACGTGCCCTCCACCATGAAGGTGTCACATACGCAACCTCGTTTTCGCCCATTACCCTACTCGACCGCTTGTAAAACGTAATCAAACTTACTGAACCGCAATCGTACGGGACGTGGTGATGGCTCTTTATTGTCGCAATAGCGAGTGCTACTGATCGCTGCGCGGTTCTGTGACTGTACTGCACTGTAGTACTGTACATACTTGATGTGTGCCCCGTAGGGGAAGGGGGGGGACAGGCAGACAGCACCGACAGAGTCTCTCAAACCGCACCGCTGACAGCGAGTGTACAGAAGTGATGCGTCAGATAATGACGAGATGGACGGAAAACGGTTACCCAACACAGCATCTTCTTCGCAGACTTCGATGTTCCGAGATGTTATGAGTAATAACTGAGAGTGCGTGGAATAATAATGAGTACAAGAAGGGAGCCTAGCATTATATAGAGAGAACTCTAGCTAGGCGACGAGCCTGGAGGGCTAGGTTGGGTACAGGAACTACCATTCCTTACTGGGGCTCGTGTTAAAGTAGCTAGCTAGGAAGGGGCGCCATGAAATGACGAGAGGTTTTAGATGCTACGAAAGTTGAGAGATGAAAGAGTGTTGGAATAGAAGAGAGGGAGGCATACAAGGAGGGAGTTGTACCCTCTGCAGTAGAGTTCAATAACAACTACCAAGCCTATCAATTATATATAACGACGGGATTACTGGAGCTTAGTTAAGGGCTAGCGGCGTTCGGGCTGCTACTTGCTCAGCTATGTCGCCCTAATATCACTATCCCACCAGGTAGCAGTGTCGACTTATTAATCGACGACTCTTGGCTGAATAAGGGGGTGAACTTGCAAACTATACTGTGCTGATGGAGTGTCCACGAAAATTCAGAAGTTACTGTTGCAGTGGAGCAGAGGGTTTCACCTAGTGTAGCGAAAGAAGTTTCTGATTTTGCGGGTGTAGTTCGACGAGTCTCCGACGAAGGGGAGCTGTCCAGCGGACAGTAGGCGAGCTCATTAAAGCTCCTTTGATTAGAAGCGTGCGCACTCCTATCTCTGCAAATTCTCTTAGTTAAGCAGCAGCGATTTAGGTTTGGGGTAACATGCAGCAGCCGCGAGATGGGTGAACGTCTACACGGTCTGCTGGTCAGGGGTACCGGGGAATTTATGGGTTAGGTAACAGCTGGGTGAAGATCGATAACGTATGATGCGCGGTGACCTTGATCAACGGCCAAAACATCATGCCGAGGTGGTGGACTCCGGTTGTTCCCTGAAATAAAGGGTTTAGTTCATGCGTGCAGCTGGTGGAGCAACAGTGAGGGCACTGCTAAACGACGTCACGTCTTTCGAGGGTTGTATTACGGGTAGCTGTGAAGCAGTGTTGCAGTCTTGGTTAAGTACCAATGAAGTTCCGACATTTTCGCTGGAGCAGTTCATGGAATTATAGCTGGAGTAGTACTCGCTATCATCTGGGGTATGAGCAACATCGACAGAAATTTGCGGAGTATTTTGGGTACGTGGAAAGGAGGGAGAGCAGTAGCTGTTTCGGTTCTTCCCAAATATTTCGGCGTGTACGGACAAAGAAGCTAATGTAGTTAACATCATTTGACCCTGAGTTTGTCTCGAGGTTATTCATTGAAGCAGTTTAGTGTAGGTAACGTTCCATCGTCAGCATCGTCAACATCTTGCCAACACTCGCTTACGCCTCCACCGTCACTTCGCCTACATTCGATCGATTGTGTGAACACGACCCCGACTGCAATCGCCACCGTCAAGAACAGTATCGAATCAACGAGATTTTGCAACTGAGAGGTCAGTACCGGCTGGAGCTGTGTTGGGACCAGTTTGCTAGCAAAGTTCCTACTCGTGCAGAATTTTCAGTTCATGTGGGAGTATTTTGGAGCACTTGTTGTTGAATTGACAGGACCTTGAAGTTGTTTTCCCTGGAGAAGAATTTCAACTTTGGAGCAGTTTGGGAGTTTTAGCCATCGCATATTCGAAGCTGGGTTATGGGATTTATAAGCAGGAGAATGGGTATCTCGAGTGCCCTGGAGCGTTGGGTTTCTTGACGTTTACCCTAGCTACTGGGAGCTGTCTCTTCTTGGAGTGGGGGAGAAGGGCAGCTGCGTTGCAGATTTCGTCCAACCCTTCCGACGTGTTCCATCATTCATCTTCAAGCAATTTTGTCAATGTTATGCTTCCGCGCCTAATTTCGTCACTTCGTTGATGCAGTTTGTTGACTTTTTGTGGGACACGACGCGTGATCTCGCATGTGATACGAACGATGTCGCATGTTGATGAATGTTCTTTGCCATCCGACTACCACGTCATTCGGCAGTCATCATTATCATCTTGCAATGCGTATCATTACCGCCCATGCGACACTTAACTATTCATCAGCATTGGTCATCGTCATCATCTCGTCACTTGGGAGTTTTCGCCATTGCCCGTTCGGTTAACTGAAGAATTCGACATCTTCGACGGCTGCGATTAAAAGAGATTGTTTCGACGCTTTCTGACCCTCGATTGCATTTCGTCCTGAAGACCTCGTCAGGCCCACGTAATCATTACGCTCGTCACAGGGCTGAAGAATTACAGTCATCGGGATTACTTTTAATAACTGTTCGGCCTTGATAAAGGGAGTGCTTTCTTTATCACGTTCCCCTCATTGAATACTGTGTTCTTCTCAGAGTTATTATTTATAACAGAGATGACCTAAAAAGGCTTATCCGACACAGCATCTTCTGCGTAGACTTAGACGTCCAACATGTTTGAATAATACTGAGAGTGCGGGAATAATAATGACGAGTACAAGAATTGTGAGAGTACGACCCCGTTTACACCACTTGTCCCTTTTTTTTTCCTTCCTCTTTCATTTCTCTTTTTATCTCATCTCATTTGGTTTCCTATTCTCCATTTTCCATTAACCTTTGGTTTATCCTGCTATTATTCTTATATCACCGACCAGGCTTGGATGTACTGGTGCGCCTATCTGGCGTAATCCTGCCGTAATCCTTAAAGCCAATAGCTCGCGTGGCTATACGCAGGGTGATTCTATCTTCTAGAAGGGTCTATTCCCTTAGGATAAGATAAACCTGGTTACCTGATGTACTTTGGAAGCATAAAAACACCTTGTACTGATCGATAGTGCAACCTTTCCTCGACACATTCGATTCTGTGACACTTGGTAATCAGAGCTTTCTCACTCGGCCGCGCTCAGCTAAGCACAGCAGCAGCAGCGGGATCCGCCTCGAAAAACCGCGTGGCGACCAATTCGACGCCGATTCTGGTAAGCCCAGCTCCGCGATTTTCGAATTACCCCTCCGCGCGTGTTTTTGAACAGGATGGCAACCCTCGACAACGGCGAGGTTACCCAGCAGCACTTCGCGCGCATCGCAGCCCTTCAGGAGGAGATGCGAGCGGATCGCGAAGCATGGCGAAACGAGTTCGAGCGAGTAACTCGACTCGCCGAGCGCAGCACGACTCGACAACGGCGACAACGCAGCAGTCGCAACAGTTTCTCGAGGCTCCGAAACCGCGCCCACCTGAGCCGTTCGATCCGAGCGATCTAAACTCCGACGTCCGCAGATGGATTGCCGGCATGGAGTTCTACTTCGCAGCCGTCGGATGGAGCTCGCCAGCCTGGGACGGTCAACGCGTACGACTCGCGGCGACACTGATGCGAGGGCCGGCACTCGAGTGGATTGGCGGTAACAGTACTTCATCCACGGTGAAGCACGTGGCAGCAGTTCCGCGCCGACCTGCTGAAACGATTCGAGCGATAAATTCGAGTTTCCTTGCCGGGAAATAATTCATCGCCATCGACAGTTCGGGAGTATAGCACAGTACACGCAGCAGATGGAAGAATTTTATAACCGCATTCCCGACCTGACCGAAGGGGAAAAAGTACAGTCATACCTCGCCGGCTGAAGACTGAAGTCAAACGACAAGTGGCAGCGTCAAACTACGCGAGCTACAGTGACGTCGTTTCGGCAGCGGAGCGCTTCGACATGGTCACACAGGAACACGACGGACGCACGTCGGCAGTACGCGACAGGGCGACCGCTCGGCTCACCCCACGTTCGCCGACCCGATGGAAGTCGACAGGTTCGAGGGCGGCCACATCCGAAAAACACCAACTTCACGTGTGATTTTGTGGGTGACGGGTCATCGAATCTTCGACTGCAACAAAATGAAAGCCGCACGCGCAGAGTATCGGGCACGCAATAGTGGCGGAAATCCTTCGGCCAATCAGAATGCAAAAAAGGGGACTCGCCAGTAATTGCGGATCTAGCTGGCAAAAAAGAAAAGATCCGAAAGCGGCCGCAGACTTCGGAAAATCAACTTCGACGCAGCTGATTCAACGCGAACAGGAGAAAATGATGGAGAAAAATCTCCACCCCACGACCAGTCTTTCCCAGAGGAAATCGCTGAGAAAAATCTAACTCCGCGAAAAAAGGAGTCTGCCGAGACACGGAAACTCCTTGAAGACCCAAGAAATTATAAGGATTCGTTAAAGTTATCTTACAAAGATGCTTTAATGAAAGCCTATGATTTTCGAGGAGCTAGAGCCTTGGAGAAATTTCGGGAGGGACTCCAAAAGAAGCAGACAGCTGTGGAGATTATACCGGTACCGGAGAACTTGGGGACCAAATTAAGGAGTGTGGAAAGAAGCCAACCTTTCCACGGAATCAACGTCCTCTCCCGACACCAGCCCACAACGACCACCGTACCCCGGGAAGACGTCGGTGGAGCTGAGGCAGCTCAAGAGGAAGCTGGGGGTCTACAAGAAGCTGCACAAACCCCGAACTCCTCCTAGGGATGCATCCAGTTCTTCGG